AAATACAGTTCAAAAAAGAGGCTGTTATATTTATGACACATATTTTTTCAAAGAAAGGGATAGAAGTAAACAAAAAATATATTAATGCAATTTTAAAAATGCCTGTTGCAAAGTTGATGTCTTAAGATTTTTAGGGGTGGTAAAATATATACCTAATCTTTCCAAATTGACTGAACCTTTGCGAAATTTGACTTTGGAGTGGAAAGAGATGAGATTTATTATATTTGCTAATTAGCGCTCCTGTGTTGTCCTACTTTAATTCCCAATATCCAATCGAAATTGAAATTAATGCATGTACAGATGGGGTGGGAGCTTGTCTATTGCAGTAAGTTAAACCAAAGGCGTTTGCGTCTCTTGCTTGACAAAAACTGAGCAAGCTTACGCTCAAATGAAAAAGAGACCCTGGCCATCCTTTTTGCTGTAAACAGTTTCATTATTTCGTTTATGGCATGACCACAAAAATACATAGTGAGCGTAAACCGTTAGAGGTAATATTTAAAAAAGACCTTCAGTCAGCATCAGCGAAACTTTTAAGAATGCGATTGGAACGACGGAAGTATGATCTTAACATACAGTATACAGTGTGTCCCAGATCGCGTGGGATTGCATGGGTAACTTTGTTATTATTAAAGATAGAGAATTGGTTAAATGGGCAATGTTTTGCAGTTTTGGATGCTTATTTAAAATTTCCTTATGGAAATTCAAAATGTCGCATAGGTTTGTCGTAAATTCAAAAAAACTAAAATTGGTCATTTCCTTGAATGTCTTATATGACCAAAAGTATGAGAGATATAAAAAAAAGTTTTATATAAAATTGACTGTCTTTGATACGCTTAATTTAGAATTGATGTCAAAAAAAAATTCAAGATGGCCACTTTAGAGGAACATTTACCAACTTCCTAAAGTTAAATGGGCGCCATGTTGGATTTTTAGATTACTTGATAGATTTTTTAATTCTCTTTTCAACGAGCTATTATAACATAAGATTGAAAATAAGATACCAGTTATATTATCGGTTTTTTATTTTAATCAAGTAGTCTGTGATGAATTAAAAAAAACAAAACAAAATCTATTCGAGGCAACAAAACAATGAAAATAATTACAGCAAATGTTTCAAATACTGGCCATTATTAGTGAAACATACTTCAAGACAGTTTAGTTTAGGCAACGTGTTGCCATTGATTATTATTATTATTATTGTAGTGGTAGCTACTTCCACTTTACTTTTATTTTTTAATTAAGTACTTACTTTTATAATTTAATGTACTGTACATAATTCGTGAATTGTGACCTGAGCAGACAGCTTGTTGATAGGTAGCATAAACCAACCCTTTCTTCGAAACATACGTTGTCGAGAAAAATCCTTTAAGGAAGTTTATTGGAGAATTTGTAAATAATGGTGAGCAGTTAAAGATCCATCAAAGATTATCGGTGCAATTACATGAGTTCTCATTATGCCATAAAATACATTAATTTAAAAAAATATCAGTTGATTTCGGCGTGAAGCTACAACATGTAGGTTTTCCTATGACGAGTAGTGTTCATTATACCTATGTCGACTTGAACACTCCGCAGTTAGAAAAATACGTTAAATATGTTAGTTTCGATATTTTTGCGGATAAACCACCTACAAAATGTGACCTGGGACAATGCATCAATGATAATACATTGTGTAAAATAAAGAGAAGTGTCTTGAAATGTGTTTAACTGGATAATGGCATGACATTTTTTCGAGGGGATAGTTTGTAGTTATATACCACCATTTGTAGGTATGTAAGTATGGATAATAAGATAGTCAATAAGTGATGTTATAAAAATCAAAAATTTTTTAGGCCTACTTATATAAAATTTTGGAGGGAACTTAATGCCCAAACCCCCCCTCTCATGAGTGCGCCCCTGATTTTTTTAACATCTGATGTAATTATTGTCATTGTTTTGTTGCCTCGAATAGATTTTGTTTTGTTTTTTTTAATTCATCACAGACTCCTTGAGTACATTATAAAAACCATTGATATAACTGGTATCTTATTTTCAATCTTATGTTATGATGGCTCGTTGAAAAGAGAATTAAAAAATCTATCAAGTAATTTAAAAATCCCATATGGCGCCTATTTAACTTTAGAAAGTTGGTAAATGTTCCTCAAAAGTAGAAATCTTGAATTTTTTTTGACATCGTTTCTAAATTTAACGTATCAAAGACAGTAACTTTTATATAAAACTTTTTTTTATATCTCTTATATTTTCGATGATATAAGACATTCAAGGAAATGACCAATTTTAGTTTTTTTTTGAATTTACGACGAACCTATGCGACATTTTGAATTTCCATAAGGAAATCTTAAATAATGCAAAACATTTCCCATTTAACCAATTCTCTATCTTTAATAATAACAAAGTTACCCATGCAATCCCACGCGATCTGGGACACGCTGTATACCTAAGCCAGGAAATACAAAATGGATGGATCTTTAACGCGCTGTCTCAGCCCAAGGACAGAGAATGACATAGATAGTTGGCCTGATCAAAAATATAAAATTCCAGATAATGTTAGAGTCTATTATTTATATTATTATCTCAAGGAAAAATTCTAACCCAAAATCGTTTTGAAACCCTGTCAATAATGACCCCTGTTATCACTGACAGATTGACATTAATCAAAAATTCTATATGAAAATAGAAATTTTATATTAAAATACAATTTCGGGTACTCGTCAGTAAAATGACACTACTTGACTCGGGAAATAAAGCACTCGGTCCCAAAGGGGCCTCGTACTTCAATACATCCTTGCGAGTTATGCGTTATTTTCCTGATTTATATGCAAATAACTATTGTGTCTGAAAATTTGTTATTCTTATATAAGATCTCAAAATACATCAATCCAATACTTTAGCCCATTACTAAGCAGCGAGCTTTCCTGGACCGAAAGTGGTCCGGGATAATGTTTGCCGGCCTACGCCATCAAAATATATCTAACAGTATTGTCAAGAAAACAATTTCATAGGCCATAAGATGGTAACAAAAAATTCTTATGCATTTATAAAAATTCCTTGATTTATAATAATGTTGTTTGTGATTTCATAAAAAATAGTATGTGTACCTCGTAGTAAAAGCACATTCCCGGACTCAAATGCTTGTTGACCTCGGCTTAACGCCTCGGCCAACAATTTATACTGTCGTCCGGGAATGTATTGCTTTTACTACTAGATACACAATGTACTATTATTGTGCGGGAATTACAACAGATATTGAAAAGTTGTAATATTTGTGAGAATTTTCCGGAAAAAACTTTAAACAAAATATCTTGTCTACAATACCTCAAAGGCCATGGGAAAGTGTGGGTTCAGATATTTTTACTTATGGAATATGAAACTGTAATTCTTGAAGAAGACACAGTCGTTATATGTGTTACAGGATTATCAGGCTAACACTATATACGAAGAAATCTCGTTACCCTCATAAAATTCATTTAAAAGGATTTGAACCCGAATCTTGTTCTGGGTCTTCTGATAGTAATGTCCGTGTTGCACTTAAGCCTGATGGAATTGGTGAACATAGTGATAAGTTGATACGTATTCCGTCACGAGAGAAGCCTTCAGTTGTACCATCAGATACAAATTCAAAATTAACTACTTTTTCAGGCAGAACTATAAAACAATCACAACGGCTAAACTATTGACTTATGAGGGAAGATGAATAATAGTGTATTTAGTATAGGTTGTGAACATTAGAAAAATATGTAAAGTATCAAGATATTTATGATCTTGATGTTATCGTGCCTAATGTAATGACCTAAATTATACCTACTTGATTAAAATAATTACCCAGTATACAAGAATGCTTTTTTGTTCAATTAATCTAATCCATCTCCAATGATCACCTAGTTACCCAAGCAACCCCACTCAATTTCGGACACTATATGCTCTTCAAACGCGTCTTTAGAACCTTGGGACAGTATATCACAAGTGAAGTATATGCCCAGTCCGCAGTCGAATACCTATCTGAATCCGTAAGAAACAGTGGCGAGGATCTACATATTATTAGTAATTGCAATTGTATCAAGTTAAAATTTGTATCGTGTCTTATTTCGAAATATTTCATTAAAATTGATCAAAGTACACTGGATGTTCATGTATTTATGGCGGCCAGTATACATTTCTTCAGTGTAAGGCCCGACTAAATAATCTGGATTATCGATTTTTCCTCTCTTTAAATACTAAATTTAAAAGTATAAACATTTTGAAATGCCTTAAGGATATGTTTTGCATAAGTACAAAATTCGTATATTTAAAAATATAAGGGTTGATTTAGCCCCGCTGCTCCTCAGCCAGGTCTGCAATTCTGCGTTTAGTTATTATTGGAGAAATTTTGGAAACCTTTACAGGGTGCCTCAAATACCTACATACCCAAAAATGTCTAACAGCTCTCGGGATATACACAAATCTCAATTCTATCCAAATATATATGGAACGAGTGTTTGTTCAGAGTAAATGCAACTCCTTTCTGATGACATCAGCGTATTAACATAGTGATTTCGGAAAATACCGATTGCTCGAACAAGATTCTGTAATAAGCATCTAGCAGTACCAGTTTCATCTGAAATATTGGTGCTATTAACTGCCAACGCAATTATTAATGAAAAAAAGTGTCAACGACCCTGCGTAAACATAGCATAAATTTAAATAAAGAAATTAATAAACAAACTGGTAGAGTGTAATTGTTACACTTTACAAGTACTTATACTTTGTAGTTGTTAACGGCATATCCTTTAACGTCTGGTACTTGACCGTAAGTATCACCCAAAATTATACCAATTGAAAAATTTCGCAACCGTGAAGGATGATGTGCCGTGCACCTACGCAAATTCCCATAAGGCAAATAACATATTGTGAATATAAACACGACACGGCTAATTTAGTAGAGTTTTTAATTATTGTATATAGGAAGTGCATATACGTTCTACCGAATTGGTATCATTTAAAGTTAATTAGGCACATCATTGTTACACTTTTATCAGATTTTTAGGTCAACCACCTGATACCATAATACCAGCTAGAAAATGTAGTAATTTGAACATGTTCGTGTGAACCTGCAACTAGTTAGCCTTAATATATACCTACTAAGTACCAGTATGAGTACTTGTTACTCCACACTTTCAATGGTCGCAAAGATCAAAACTGTGTCAAATTCGTAAAATTAGTATATCGGTAAGTTTAATCCATTTATGAGTGGAAGTAATTAATTTTCTCAAGGTGGCAATAAAAAAAGGTAGAACATTCCATTTAGAAAATTGATTTCGCGCCGTCCAAGAAGAATTGCATAACTGTAACGTGGAAGAAGTAAATTTGCACCTATATTCTATAACGGAAGACTGTATTGGACATCTGTTATTCTTTGAGATAACTGCGAGATGAATATCCTTTTTTAAACTATAGGTATTGTGTGCGCACTATAAATTTGTAATTTGTGACATGGTAATTATTAGGACAACGAATATCTATTTTAGATTGGTACGAGAGATTAGGCGCGTTAGCCCAGTTTCTATTTTGAATTGTAATTGTTACATATTCCCTGTTGGTTTTGCCGCTGTTGGTTAGAACAAATTAACACACTTCCTTGTCTTTTACAGGATCTATAGCAGCTTTCATTTGGGTATGGAGAACCCAAGTGGCGTTCAAGGCCAAGGAAACACAATGTCCCTAATCCGACGCCCCAAAGTCGAAATTGTTTGCTTGTTTTTAAGTATCCACTTAGTTTTATTATAAATGTGACGAAGAAGGAAATACTGTTACTGTTACTTTCAATAAAATGCAGTCTTTCTACTATTCATTTTCATTTGAGCTACATGAACTTTCCAATCAGAAGAGGGTTCATGGATCCCACAAGCTGAAATGTGCGACATACCATTATTCTCAAAAAAGAGCCAAAACACGGAACACCGAATGGAATGTAACCAGCTTGTGCACATTCGACAGAATGACATCGGATAGTTTTTCAAAAAACAAAATAGTTTTTAAAGTAGTTGTCCAATAATATCAAACCCCAACTTTTGAGTTTATGAACATAGTAATATAACCGCATTCTTAATTATAATGCAATAATCATTTTCATCTCGCTATCTTTAATTAGATCTTTCTTGTGAACTTGCCCAATGTTGCCAGACCACATGCTGTAAAATTGCACTAGAACAGAATCGAGGTATGACTATGAATATAGCATTTTTTATCTCTCTCTTTTCACAAATAAAATGTTTGCAAGGTTTTGAGGTTTCTGTAAAAATTAAACATGTGACTAAAGTCCTTTTGCTCGTTCTGTAATGCTTTAAAACATTGCAATATATGTATCATTTCTAATTAGTCTGTAATGAAGATCCGTATGACCCAAATATCCGCTTAACGATTTTGATCTCTGATCTCATGAGCAAATGAAGTTAGAGAACAAAAAAAAAGAATTAAACATAACGGTATAACGGCTTCAGTTCCAAATGAAAGCCAATGCCTCTCACTCTATTTAAACGAAAGCGGATCTGACTTGAAGATACACAGTCCTACAATAATTAATTAAAACATTTTTCAATTTACTTTTACCATGGACAAAAAATACTCAATCTACCTCAATAAAATGTGGTTATAAAATTCAAGTTTTAGCTTGAACCTTTGTTTTTCAAACGTCCAAAGTTGATCTAGGCATCTAGGCAACTAGGCATTTCAAAAACATCGAAGCTTGATTGCTGATTTCGGTTCGAGTTTTGAAATTGGGCGGTTTCATTTTGAACCTCAACACCTCACATTCGAAATTTGAAACTTACTAATTTAATTCCTAAAACTTCTTAAATCTCAAATGCTGTCGAACAACAGCTTCAGTTTCGGATTGAAGTTTCAGGCTTGAATTACGAAGCTTTAAGTTTGCGGACTAAAATTTGTAGTTTGATGTTTAATACTTGGAACCTACAATTTTGACGATTAAAGTTAAAACCTAGGCATTAAAACCTTTCGAAATTCAGATGTATACCCCTCTTTAGGCTCTTCAGTTTTGAATTAAGTTTGAAGCTTGTAGGAAATTTTGAAAATGTAAGAGTAAATTAGTAGACAGTGAATGCTAAAAGACACTTACTAAGCGTCTATTGGCAAATACAAGTGACAATTGGCAGATACAAATTACAAAGTGCCATTGGGTAAAAAATAACTCTTACGTGGTGGTGATCCTTCCATGATTACCCAATCAGTGATTTTGTTGTATTTGCACATACAGAGTGTTTCTAAATATGATGTACCTATTTTATATTTTATGACAAAAAGTGCATTATCGATCTACAGGGTGTTATAATTTCGCCATTTCTTAAGTTTTTTCTTTATACTCGTATCTCCTGCAGATATTTGGCTCAAATATGAAATATAAGTTACGCTGAAGGGCTTTACATAATTGGTCGTGTCAATGGAGAATTTACAGAGTGATGTTGTTTCAAGAGTCATGTTCCATTTTCTACCCCTGAACTTTTTGGTGCGCCTCTGGTATATTGTAAAATAAAAAATTAATTCTCCGTTTTATTTTGAAACTTTTTGGTCTCTTGTAGTTTTTTCGAGAAAAAGTTAGCTAATGAAAGTAAATGCTAAAAAAATCAAATGAATGAAGATAAATTTCATATCAAATTAATGATAAACGATTGTATTTTGTAGGCATCAGTTCGACAAGTAAACACTTACCTATAAGTAAAGTTATCAGAAATATGTTGTAAATTCCAAAAATCTACTAAAAAGTACGGTATTCCATTTAAAAGAATTAAGTTAGGTAGAGCCACCTGGCGATGGCGCATTTCATTTAAGAATTGTTATCACAAAATATATGGCCCTAGTCTACAGTTCTAACAAAGTTTTAAGAATTTTAAAATCTGCATTTGTTCCCGAGATATCGCTTAATTCATATTTTGCAACTGCAAATACTAAGGCGAAGAAAATGCTTGTGCAAGTAAGCAACATTGGTGATAACATACTAGTTTCACCCGGAATAAGATTTTCCTTTCATTCAACATCACCCATAGAGGTTAGAGAAATACTGTGTTCTTTAAAAAATAGTCAAAAAGCAAGCATTTTTGCCTAGAATAGATATCAGTTTCAGGGGATGATTCATTGGTGTTTCTAGAGCGTCACAAATTGAGGTGTAGTCCAGGACGTAACTGTCACTTCTTTTATAAGCTGCGACTACCAATTCTGTACATTTCATTCAATGTGACTTAATTAATTTATATACAGGGTGGCCCATTTATCTTGAGACAGTCGATCATTGCGGAAACTAGCGGAGATATCAAAAAATGATTTTATGATTTTATGGAATATTCTTATTCTACATCGGAAAATAATGAACTTTCGTAGGAAGCGTTTTTCCTTTACACTTACTATTTTTTGAAGACACTCTTCTAAAAACGCTATTTTTGGATTGAGCTAGGAAGTTGTTTTGTAAAGAATTTGGCACTTTTTTTTTAAATAAGTCGGCAGTTTAAAGCATTTACCGAAGCTTCACTTTTTTATGTTTTTTTTGCCAAATTTCATTTACTATAATGTGTCCCAGATTGAGTTTTGTGTCTTCAGGCTGATTGAAAAGTTCTTAAAAAACTGCGAAAACTGCCAAATTAAAAAATAGCTCTTTAAATATAAAAGTTCCTTTTTTTGATAGAACACACTCAAAAATACTGGGAAAATGAAATTCAAGGTGGATATAAAATTGTTAAGCCGTAAAAATAGTTGTACTGTTCACAATTAAAGATAACTAATAAGCAGCTAAAGAATAATTACTTAGTTGATTAAAAAAAGACGAAATCTGCTGGATTCAAGTATGGAAATAGTTAATTTCACTAGTATCCTTTGAACATCGCTGAAAATTCAAGTATTCAGGCTCTCAATGATAATTTAAACTTGAAAATATGCATAGTAACATAACTTTTCATGATCTATTGAAAGAAAATATTATCATGACCATTTCACTTCCGGTTTCACCGGATGTAGTTAGCAACTTTCTTGTTTTAAAGACACCCTGTATTTTATTACATTTTTGAAATTTACAAGGAAACTCAAAAGTATTCAAGTTATTCAAGATTCTTTAAAATTTAGACCTTTGACTGCTTTGTACCTATGACTCAGTTGATTGAATTTCAAAACGTCTGCTCAAATCAACAATACTGACTTGATGCTACATGAAAATGATTTAAATTTTGATCGCCTTTCTACAGGCTGTGTTAATACTAATGGTCAATTTTCATTACTTCAAACCTAAAAAGTTGATTTTTTCGAAATCAACATGATCAACATGTTATTGAATTGATACCATTTTATTCGGATTTTCTTTTTAGTAGTGGGCCATGAATTTATGACAATGGAATTAAAACAAATCTATAGTGACACTACAGTACTCGATTAAGGTAGCAGACTCGTTTGCCATTTTGGAGTCCAAATCTGTGCACAGAAAAACGGTTCAATGTGTCAAATCTTATCTGCATTAATAAACGTTAAAAAAATCAATAGGACATGCAATGTTTTGCAAGCGTTAAGTCAGTGTCAGTGGGTTCCAAAATGGCGTACGAGCCTAATTAATTGACACATTATTATGGTCACTTTTGTCCCTCTACAAGATGCCAGTTTTAAATTATAAGTCAGACGTTTCGTCTCCGGTTAATCACCATTAACTTTGTTTTTTCTTATGGAAGCCATTTTCTTTTTTTTCAATTTCAAAACGCCATTTTGTTAAGTATCAAAATACAAATATATCTCTTACAGTTTCCGAGATACCTATACCCATGGTGGCTCCCGCATTTGAATCACCCTGTATATGGTCCGCGGATTCCGATCCAATTCCCTGGAAAAGTGGCATCTAAAAACTCGAAAACACTTCCGGCATTATGTGCAGGCACACCATCTTGTTGGTAATGCATGCATAGTAACATATTCCTGCAGAGGCGGATCTTCTGTTGCAGGAACAACAGTATTACGTAAAATTTAAGGGTCGGCGTTGAACTTTACTTGAGACACTTGGAAGTGTAGGTACTTTCTCTACCTATTCAAAAGAGAATTCTGATCGCAACAGTAATGTGAATCTGATTAAAGAATGTTCTTCCTGATCCTTTAACGTTAGCCATTCGCAAAACTCAATTCGTCTTGGGAGGTCCCCGGGTTGCATCGAATAATGAAAAGAAAACGGGCGATAATGGTAGTTTCTTAGGATGCAGCTAATACTTAAGCAATTTCCGCGTCTCTCAAATAATTAGTTGGGTACGCCGTGAAATATCCAAGGATTTTGACAAAGCCTCATTTTCAACAATGGGTCTTGCTCTAGGGTAATTCTTTTGGAGGTATAAAGTTTCCAAAATTCAAACAATTCGAATGGTATGATCATTAGGACGCGGTCTGTCTTGATATCGATTTATCAATGAATGTACGGCAAGCACCGAGCACGTGCTGCGATTTTGTCCATTTCTGTGACTCATTTTCACCATTATTGAAAAACTTGTTACCCTATAACCATTGAAATAAAGGACTATACCTATAACATGTCACGGTCCACTACTAAAAAGAAAAAGAATGGTATCAATTCAATAAATGGGAATAAATCAGAAATTGTTAAAGATAGCTGTAAAAACATATAACATCAAAATATGCCAATTTATATTCTCTATCAAATGCAATAGTAAGAAAATGGTCATTTCATTTGATAAAACTGAATTTTTACTCTTTGAACTTTCTTAAATTTGGATATCCATATAGGCGCGGTTGTACGCAACTGAACTTTTTTTAAGTACACTAAAAGAAAGCACCATTCTTTCTCTATGCACTGGTAAAGATGAGTTGCTGTAACTACAACAGTTTTCAAATAATCAATTTCTAGGTACAGTTGTCCGTCTGCAACCGCCAAGTCAAAATAACTTAACCATAAATTGTAGATATCGACATGTCTATGAAAAGAACTGAAATTTCACGTAGAATCCAAAAATGCAATAAAAAATAGGGGTTGTCATTTACAATAACGAAGTTACTAGATCCTTCCGATATTTTCGGAAATGCCACCATTTCGAAAATGTTTTACATCGATTCGGCCTTCAGAGTAACTCCTACGTACACATTTTCAAAAACCTACCCTAGAAACTAAAGCTAAACTAAAGCTCCCCTATGTTCAAGCTTTTATATGAAAGTCAGATTTTTCTGTGAAAGAAATTTTTGAGTTTGTGAAGAGTATTACACCCGAAGCTGAACCTTTTTTTCCCTTTAAACATGAAATATCTACTCCAAAAAAAAGAAAAAGACAAACATTTTTATGCCCTGTACAATAATTACCTACCCACTTTGTTTTATTTAAATGATCATATAATTCAAGCTAAAAGGTGTATAGGAGGCATGATGTTACTGGATTAAACTAATCTTGGAAAAAGATGGTGAAAAAATAATATAAGAAATATCAATATATTTACCTTGAAATGGTATGAGAAATACGTTATGTCCCTTTTTTGGCCCAAAATCAAACTTTAAAGGCAGGCTACGACGTAAATTAAAAAAAGCTTAGCCCCTTTTGATGAAAGTGAATAGCTTTAAAATCAATTTGAATTACACCGAATAATGTTAAAAATTGAGGTATTTTTTATAGTAGAAAGGTACGTTTGATTCACTAATAGCACCTCAATGTATTTTTAAAATGTGTCAGTTTGTCAAAGACAAAAATGTGCAAAATTATTTAAAAAAAATTATACTTACTAATAAGCACGAAAGACTAAAAATTCTAAAACTCATTTTGAAGTTGAAAATTCTTCTTACACAAACACAAAGCGCGCGTACTATAATAAAGCGTAAAAAAGTTGCGAGTTCATTTAACACATTTCAGTCTTCCAGTTCAATCAAAGTAGCTTTCAGAATCACATACAAGAAGTAAACTTTGCATGCGGCAATGCTTATACCAAACTAAACCAACAGACCGACCCCTCTTCTATGACATCCTTATAAGATTCAATCCCTCGCTCGTTGTACACTTCTGGATTGCTCTTCATTCTTCGTTCGTATTGGTCGAAAGAGCGCTGCTGCTTTCGAATATATCAGAATCTGATCGATCGAGTTCCCTTTCAATACGCAATTTATTTGGCATATGTCACCTTTGTGGCCACCGTCGATATTTACGGACGAAATTGAGAAAAACCTGCTTTCGGGAAATGCGTACGCGAAGCGATCGTTGACTTATGCAAATGCTTGTTTCATCCTTAACGAATACGTTAGATTTACAAGCGCAGCATGAATCGTAAAATCATCGCAATAATTGGAGAATTTTATCGGCGCGGCGTCGGTGGCGTCGCCCGTCGAAAATTGGTCGCGAATATTTCCAAGGATAAGAGGCGCAAGCGTCGCAACATTGACGTCTTTATCACAATGTTAACCACAATGATATTTTCAACCTCCAGTTCGATGAATAAATAACACAGTCATAAACAATGTAAAATTTAATCCCACATTCTCAAATTAGCAGTAGCGGTGAGTGGCACAACAGGAGCGATTTCGCTCAAATCTTTCACGGTTTCTTTCAGGTACCTGCACGCTATAGAAATGCTGAAAAAGCACCTCATGGGGTATCGCAAATACGTCTACGTTCTGTTCCTACTAATCTTATCCTTACTATGCGTATTCTATCTTCAACCCCCGTTAAAATCAAGCGCAGCTGTAGAGCTAGATCAATTAGAGTATACAATCAAAGCAGGTGAGTGGCAGTTACCTATATAACTTAATCTAGAGCGCTCTGATGCAGAAATCTAATTAAAAAGAATTGGGGCGGTTTTGGTGATGGAAAAAACGCGAATTTAGTCTTTATTGTGTAATCCGGACCTCGGAAATTTCGCGCTTCGCGAGAAATTTGTATTTAATTAAGGGGCGCTTAATCGATTTTATGAATAAGGGGTGCATAAATTATTACGCGCTTTTTAAGCTCCGACGCCTGCATGTTATACAACCAACCGTACCTTATGAGAGAATTGGTAAATCCATTCTTTTAACAACCATCATGATCTAGATTGACCCGCATTCATTTTTGCTACAGCAAAACAACGTTGTCTCCGAAATAGGACGACTTGACGAAGATGACAACCCTCTTGATCCAAATTCAGAAGCATTTTTGCTTAGGTAACTGATTCCTTTGATAACTTGAGTTCTCATTGCACGGCCGAAGATGGTATTTGAAATAAAGACCTAAACCAACATTAAATTTCGCCACTGCCCCAAAGCGACTTAAGCATGGCACTTTCAGTAGTTTATTAGAACAGGTACGTTTGATGAGCCACATGAAAGAAGAAGAAGAAGAGGAATTCAAAACACGTCTGTTCCAGTTTCCACGACGTAATGAGGCGTGTAGTAAAATATTAAGCTTCCCAAGGCTTCGAATCGTCCCATTACTGTTTGTCATGACTTCATGAGCTGATTAAATGACAAAGAAGGCAACCTCCTACCTAATGCAGACCATATTCAAGTTAAAGGGATCAATTGTCCTCCGCGATAAGGCTCATTCATCAAGGGTAGTTTCTTCTAATCGCATGATAGGAAAACGAGAAGATATGCCCAGAAATAATTGTGTTCAGCGTTCCATTCAACAAACCGAAGCAATTTTGGATAAGTGAAAAATAATATTAGATATATGGTTATGCTGTTTTGTAAATCGGCTCGACTTTCGCATATCGTGAAGTCCGCTTGATAATGGGAGATTAAATGGCGCAGGAATTATAATTAGTAAACAAAATCTATAAATAAACCTAAACAACTTCCATGCTACCATGCATCTAAACTGCAAAATAACACTGCCAATGGGATAGTCCAACAAAACTGCATCAAACTATTCCCCAGAGAAAAATGCCTTAAACAGTAAACATCACAAGGACTACAAATGAAGTCAATATCGAGTTTAACCTGGCCGTTTTTGTTTTTGAAAAGTTTTTACCATAAATTCCCACAAAAAGTGTGTAAAAAAGTCAGGGCCGTAGCCAGACTAGTTACTAAGAACGGGCGGGCGAAATATTAATAATTGCTGTGTCTAGCTCAGATACCACCGGCTCAAGAAATTTGCTTTTTGAGCAACCCACGAAAGTGGGGGCTTATGTCTTCACATTTCCGTCTGTCTGTCATTCCGTGCTATAGCTCAGTCGCTAGACCTCGTATCGACTTCCGGTTTTCGCTATATGAATTAAAGCTTATGAGTTCCAGGTGTGCAACTATCAAAAATTAACCTTGGCATTCATCACTTTCTTATGCCCTAAATCGGTCAAAATCGATATTTATTCCCCAATTTTGTTGGGAAAAAGATCACTCTCGATTGCTCGATGACCGAGAAATGATACACGTGTATTTTTGGTCACCTAAATATTTTTACCCATAGGATGTCAAAATAATTGTTTATTATGCACAATTTTCTTGGGAAACTCGATTGCTCAATGGCCATGTGAATTTTTGGTGACCAACATGTTTTTGGGCAAAAAATACCAAAATCGTTATTTATGTACCGACCGATTTTCTTGGGAAGAAGATCTCGTATCGATTTTAGATTTTTGCTGTATGAAAGCTTGAGTTCCAGACGTGCATATAATCAAACATTAATTTTGGTATCCATCACTTTCTGGCCTTAAATCGATCTAAATCCTTTTCTATGCTCCAATTTTTTTTGGGAAAAAGATCGACCTCGATTGATACATGTGCATCGTATTGACTTTAAAACTAGTCTGTCCATCTGCCCACGTGAGTAGGTTGCGCAGGAAATACCCACGTTTAATTGATTTAATAAATAAAAAAATACGCACATTTTCAAAAGCTTTTCTACGGCTATGAACAGGTGAGCCAATTTTACTTACTTTCGGTTTGGTGACTTAGCAGGAAATAAGTGCACAGACAGGTGGATTGATGATCATTGATATCGAGTTCCTTCGTATCCAAAATCTGTCATAACAGTTGGGAAGTTTGTGAACCTTTCTTATACCTGTACTACATATTGTAGGTGGCAAAAAAGATTAAAATGATAATAATATATTATGTAGGTATATTATTTATGGGTTCACAACCTGGGAAACGCAACCACGGAAACACAAAATAAATCTAACTCATTTAATGAAGGAAAGTGTACTATACCATATTAAATCCCTCTTTCAACCTGAAACACTTTCTTAATTAATACCGCGGATCGCCACTTAAAATGGTGAAGTTTTCTATCTCTCCATTTGTTAAATTTTTTAGGAAATATTTGATCATTTATGAGCATGCTATATTGTGCCATATTAAGAAATTTTCAAGAGCGGGCGAAGCTCTTGGCTATAAACTGTATGATTTCACAGCCAAATGCGAGTTATTATACATACCTACTCACTCGCACAGAAATATGTTTCGACGGCTCCAAAAATTCTCCATGTACCTACGGCTCAACTTCCATCCAAATTGTGAAAACTCCGTAAAATCTTCGTTGTAATTTGAGATTAAACACAATCTAGATAATTTTTTTTATTTTTCGTTATTATTTTTTATTTTATTTTTTTAAAATAACTCATCTAAAGGAATAGTGGATGAAACTGTTCCCAGAATGCTAGCAGCATTACCGCGCTGTGTAGCCAAGCTGATGCGTTGAATTAGTTAGGATTTAGAACGGGATTCACCACTAACAGCTTTCACTATTTTTTCCTAACATACCAACAAAATCAACAGCATTAAAATACCAAGGTCCCAGAGAGTTTCTAAGGCAAAAGGAAGTAAGCCTGCTTCTATTTCTATTTCCTCTTTTTGTTAACAACTGCTGAGTTACCCACGCTTCCTAAAGACTTTGCAGATGCTAACAAATACGCAGGAACAAGTGTATCGCGTCAAGTCACATCCCAAACTAAGTGAAAACCATGAGACCATAGTCATAAGGTCTGCTCTTTTTCCATCTTTTCTACACAATCCAGTGGGTTCCAAAATTGAAGGAATATGAACTGAAGGAATAGCTTTCTGGATAATATCATTAATTAGGTACTCTATGATGAGATTATCTCCCAGCACTCTCAGAACATGAAAAACCATGAGTGTCTTGACGATCAACAGATTCTCCGCAAATACAACGGCGGGGCTCACATACAGGGTGAGCTTTTTTTCATTTTAAGCATTAGGATCTCGGAAACCGTAAGACATAGAGATTCGGTTAAATGAGGAAAGAGTTGTCGTGTTAAGAGCTTATTCAAGATATGCTTTTGTTTTTTGAAAAAAATCCACAGTTTACTAGATATGAGCGAAAAACAGATTTAGTGATTTTTCTTTTAAATGTTGTAGAATCGTTAATATTAGAAATACAGAAATATACAAAGACCAAGCATTGTAGATTTTTTTGCGTTTAGTAAAGTACATTTATTAATTTTCATTCTTCTTTTATAATTTTCGAGTTATAACTCAAACTTACATTTTTTTAAATGGCAACCATAGTTGGCTGTGACATTTTTAAAAAGTGCATTTTTTTCTGTTTATAATGATATAAGGTTCATTGTACTTACTTTGACAAATAAACATGATACAGAACTGTTTGTATTATTAAGAGTAGTAAAAACTGAGTTTACCATGGGAAACATTTTGGTTCCCTTAATTACTCAGTCTATTATAATATTTAACTTAAAAGTTTAGCGCCACAAATAGAACGACAACGAAAAGAATTACGAGTACGAAATATTACATTTAAATTTCTACTTTGAAGTAATTACATGTAAAAAATGTTCAAAGTGCCCATCATTAATATTTACACACAAGCGGCATCTTTTCGCGATAGAATTTACAGCTTTCCATATTATCCTACCATCTAAAATGCGAAAGGCATTTACCACAGCATCATATAGTCTTTTATCGCATAAGTTCGCTGATAAATTAAACCCTTTTAGAACACCGAAAAGGAAAAATCTAAAATTGAAAAATCTGGCGATCTTGGTGACTAAAGGGCCGACCGGTTCCTACCTATCCATCACTTTGGAAATAGTTGGTTTAGGTGCTCTCGTACTTGCAGTTCGTTGCACAACGAGGCAGCGTAAATTACGTCGTGTTTCCAAATCTAACCCATATCTACATATCTTGAAATTCATTTGATAGCAAATGAAGATAACGTTGGCCTGTCCAATTTTTAATCGTAAATTAAAGGTCCGTGATCCAATAATTCCGCACCAAACATTAAATCCAAGTCTTCTTGAGGTCTTCAACAATAAGCCGCAGTATTTTGTTTATTTATTGTTTTCCATGGCATGATACGATCTACTTTTAATAGTGTATTGAATATAATTGTTAATTAACTTTCATAGTGAATTTTCCAAAATGGCCTTTAAATATGTTAAATGTGCCACAGTTTATTACCTATCTCACTATATGTTGTTTTCCATGGCAAACTCTGTTTATTTTCCCCTCAATAATAGGAAAATTCCTGCAGCGCGTTTATTTATTAAAGTACATTTAGCAAGCCTTATATCGTCATAAAGAGAAAAAGTTGTCCTTTTTAAAAATGTCAAAGCCAACTATGGCTATCATTAAAAAAAATTAAAGTTTGTATTATAACCTCGATTATAACTCAAAAATTGTAAAATATAGAAAGAAATTTACTAGTATGTTCATAATGTTAAGCATTAAAATGTCTACAAGTTTTATTCGTGTCATTTTGCTGTATTTCTAACAACTATTCCACAACAGTTAAATGAAAAATCACTAAATCCGTTTTTCGCTCATATCTAGTAAACTGTGGATTTTTCAAAAAACAAAAGCGTATCTTAAATAAGCTCTTAAAACGACACCTCTTTCCTCATTTCCCTGAATCTGTATGTTTTCGAGATCCAATGCTTAAAATGAGAAAAAACTCACCTTGTATATTGCAGCCAATACGGACACACATTAAGTAAAGTACCAAGATTGACACAAGGGAGAGTATTCAACCAAGCCCCTCAAGTTGGGGATTTAGAAGCAAGGAACCTTGCTTTGTCTCTATCACATTCGATCTTAATTTTATCACATATTCCGCTTGTGTTGATGATGTCCCCAAGGAAGGTTCTGTAGGAATCTTGTCAGAATTTCTGTTTGTCCAAACTTTCAAAGATTCCTTGTAACCACTGGATTCAGTTCTACTCCGTTGAGAGATAAGATGCAGATTAAACCAGAAACTACATTTACAGAAGAAAGAAAACCGCTTGGAAAAATATCAGCAAGTTTTTGAAATCGAAGGCCTCCGTGTTGGATAAGTAAGGAAGCCACTGTTGATTGGTTAATGTTTAATTTAATGTTGACGATTTTTTCCAAAGTTGTAAAGTTTTCGTTATCGAAAGTACCTATCAAGAATTCACCTTTGTAAGTGATCTATTAATTTTGGGATGATCAAGAAATGTCTTAGTAGCTAAAACGAAGTGTGAGCATTAAGTATTACTAATTTTGTAAACAGATGTTGAAATTTCAATAGTTTTTTGTCCATTATAACTTTTGCGGCATCTGAAGTCAAAGGAGAATCTAAAAGCGTTAGATCGTTCGAGATAACTCGAATTCATAGTGAAAGTTCAAAAGACTGAAATATCTTCTTATTGGATTAGTAGTCACAGAATTTCCAACTTTACTGCAGTTACCGAACATCTGGAATTAATTGGGCGAATGTTTTGTTAAAGTTGTCTCTTGTAAATATCCGGCCATTGCGATAAGAAGTTTCGTTATCACTGCGTAAACTAATTAACTGAAGATAAGAAGATGTTTTTTCACCGACGTAAAAACAGATGGTAGTTATATTTGACGACGAGATGGTTCGGAAAGATTGAAAGAAAGAGGGGAAAATTGTCACTTTGCAATTTTTAGATAATATTTTGGTCCATAAAGACTATTTAAATAACACACAAAGTGGTACGTTGACTAAAATATTTGAGGGAACAGATAATAATATTTGCACTTCAAAATTATGCAAGGGCAAAATGACAAGTGAAAAGTTGGAAAGTAGTTTTATGGAATAGGCCCCTGGTATTACCAAAAATGCGTTTTATCATGCATATGCTGATTTACAACTTGTTTTTCAAAAATGTGCCAAAAATGTCAAAAAATGGGGCCCAATGGAACGACAGGAATCTTTTCGGTCACCGAACGATGATATATGATTCGATATATGATGAAACGCATCATAGGAGGTCAAACTTCCTTTATTAATCTCTTCTCCTCAACCGAAACATTTTAAATGGTACCTTAGGGTAAGGGAACAACACACCATTGTAAACAAATTTCTCCCCTTGCTCCAAAGAATGTAGTGGAAATTTTTAACAAGCCGATAAAATTTAAATACACCATTACGCTTCTAGGTTTAGTACAGTGCATCAATAAAGGATGAAGAGGTTAATGAGGGAGTTGTATAAGGTTCAAAACAATACATATTTTTACTGTAATTGCCTTTTTTCGTTTCAGATTTAAAGAAATTCTTTCTAAATTTAACCGCACAAATAAACTCAACGGAAGACAGAGGTACGCATGCTCAAATTTTTATAACGATCTTTGCCAGCACTCAGATTTTAGCCGAAAATTATCTGGTACGCAGTACAAAATGTAAAATACCAAGCTTGGAACCGTTCAACGCCGAAATTCTACCGTATTACAATCCCAAAGGCTATATCAGCTGTAGTGATAAACCGTTGCTCACGTACGTAAGTAAGAAGGCCAACGTCGCCACGCTTCACGTAAACCAAACCGCACAAAAGGAGTATACCAGCGACAACCTTCAGTGTTGCTACAAGAGCGTTGCTTCAAGCCTAAGCTGGAAAACGTTTGATCTCGTCGTTAAGTAAGTGAAGCTCGCGCAAACTATTTCCTTGTTAGGTACCTCTGTTTTAGGGTCTCAAAGTGTATCGACTTTTCAAACTTTGTTCGTCTGGAAGATGACGTGGTGGTTGTGTGGTGTAGAAACACCCACAAGGACCAGGTTGTGTACAAAAACGTTCATTACGTCGTCACCGTTACCGACGAGATCAAGAATAAGCTCGAAAAGACTGAAAACGACACTCATCTAAGCGTTGTGCTCATTGGAGTCGACAGTGTATCACGTTTGAACATGATCCGTTCACTTCCCTACACCTACAACTATCTCCAACAAAACGACTGGATCGAATTTAAAGGCTACAACAAAATCGGCGACAACACCTTCCCGAACATCATGGGGATACTCACGGGCATGAACGTATCAACCGCTTTCAAGATTTGCAACCCCAAAGTAACCGGGCAGCTCGACAAATGCGACCTACTCTGGTACGACTACAAGAAACTGGGCCTCGTTACCGCCTACGCTGAAGACGAAACCGATATCAGCACATTCAATTACCTCAAGAAGGGCTTCGAGCGAAAACCGACCGACTACTACTTCCGCCCCTACATGTTAGCGGCCGAGAAAAACCTCAAAACCGTCGTACTGGAGGGGGTCAAATACTGTACGGGTCCCGAAAGTGCCGGCGAACGAATTATGAATTTGGCGCGCGATTTCACGTCCACATTTCGAAAGTACGCCAGCTTCGGATTCTTCTGGATGAACTCGTTCAGTCATAACGAGATTAATTCCGTTTCGAGAATGGACGTGAAGCTCGCCGAATTTTTAGTAAGCCTTAATCGTACGGGAGTTTTTGCCAATAGTATTGTAATTTTTTTAAGCGACCACGGTATCAGATTTGGTACCGTGACGTATACTCATACAGGTTGGCTGGAGGAGAGGCTGCCGTTTTTCTATATGACTGTGCCAAAGTGGTTTCAGAACAAGTTTCCACGAAAGTATAGTAACTTGGTGCTAAACTCGAATAGGTTAATAACGCCTTATGATTTATACATGACTTTGCAAGAAGTGCTGGTTTTATCTGGGAAGAAGTATTCGATGAAGGCTAGCTCGGCATGTCCCGAGTGTAAGTCACTTTTCGAAGCCGCCAAACGTGATCGTTCTTGTGAAGAAGCCGGCATTGAGAATCACTGGTGCACTTGCAGGGGTTACACTTCCATTCCTTCCAATGGAGTGATAGTCGAAAGAGCAGTTAAGTTTATTCTTCGCGAAGTGCAGCGGATGGCTAATGACAGGGGTTGCGCGGAATTCGAGGTGAAGAATATAATATCTTCTGGCGTATCCGTTAACTGTGATATTAAAAATAGAAGTAACTTATATTTTTTGATAACCTTTGAGACGCACCCGCAGGCTGTGTTTCAAGGGACTGTTAGTATTGGTGTTGACGTTCCCATTTTTAAAATGGAAGGTAGCGTTAGTAGATTAGACGTCTATAGCTTTAACAGTTGGTGCGTAACCGACGCCTTAGTGAAAAAGTATTGTTATTGTCATGGAAGTTATGCATACATATCTAGTATGATCAACACCGTTGCCACACATATTTTACAATTTTTCTATTAATTTAAGATGGAACAGAGGCCTTTAATGGAAAGTACCTAATTTATTATGTGTCTTTTAACACAAAGATTAACCAACCCCAAATGAGCAGATGAACTCAAGCAGACAATAATGGTATGACCTCTGATTTGCACAGAACAATTTCCAGAGGCAACGCAACAACTACCAGGTAACAGAAATATGTAAAGAGTGGTCGCAATCTGATAGAGTATTTCAAAATTAATATAGGGTGTTCAATTATCGACAGTATTTCAGTTCAGTTAGCTGGCTAAACAAATTAGAAATTCGAGCATATAGTGTGAAATTGGGATTCATGTAACACCAATTAGTCCTATGTATACTAGTCAACTTGATTTGCCAATAATTGCCAAAAGTATTGTTAATTTCAGGGAAAATATATTTTGAAAATTTAATCACTTTCTTCTTCCTACTCCCTTCTTTATTTTGTGATTCAAAGTTCTTTATGGTTTATTTTCTGTTAAACCTCTTTCTCGAGTCAACAATTTCAATTTTTTTATATTAGGAGCAATTTTGTCGAAAGTAAGTAGCTCGAATCGTAGTTGAATGCTATAGTAGTACTTTTTCAATACTCATGGCACAGTTAAAGAGGATATACTGTGCTCATGGCATGAAAACCACTTACTTGTTGCATCAAACAATTATGTGTGTAATGAGTGGCCTATCTGCTAGGCAGTTTATAGATTAAATTTGAAAATAACGTTACTCGAGAAACCCTTTGAATAGGGAGGTTCGATATTTTTGTTATGTATACTTTGCCAGCACGGCGGCAAATGTTTCTGGCTATTTTGGGATTTGAATTTGCTTCGAGAAAGTAGGCATTCTATTTTCAGCGTTCCGCGTGATATCAAGAGGCTCCTTTATTTGACGTATCCTTTCTCACCCAGACAATACTAGTATTTAGTTAAGAATTTTGTCACTACACCCGTTATTTAATTTCCTTTTCGGCGTTAAAACGTCCATTTGCTTAATTCTATTTGCGATTTTTTAACATTCCCTTTGTCGCACTTCCAATGAAAATTTTTACGCGATTTCCAAAAACATGTAACTTTCGGTTTAAGGACTTGTTCGACACGTTTAGAAAACTCGAAAAATGTTCACCAATAACTTTCTTTGCTTTTAACTAACACTCGGTTATCATTGATAATTCGAATGCAAAACAAGATATACTCAAAAAAATTCGGCTTACTTCTGGTAGCTGGGATACTCAAGAGTTTAATTAATTCATCTTTTTAAATCTGACTAATCCCCCCTTAGTTTCTACGTAAAATTGTGAACGCACACAATAGCGGATTAACTTTCAAAATAGCGATGGTAGTTTTTCATTGGTTAGTGTCTTTTTTCCTACCAATCCTAGACGATTTTAAAGGTCGTGAATCAATCCCATCTCTTTCTCAGAACAAGCTGACTCAAAAATTTCCACGGTGAGTTGATCTTTATGATGATCTAATAAATGTAATACTATATTCCTATTAAAAAGGGCGCAATATTAACCAATACGCAGATTTCGAGGCGGTTCCAGTGATTAAATAACATAAGCTCATTGAAATGAGACAACTCCCATTGATCTTCCATTGATCTACAATTAACCAGATATATTTTTTACATAATCACGACCACCATTTGCTTGGGACATTTCTTACAGCTTCTAATTAACTTATTCATGCGAGAAAATTGAAAAATTAATTCTGACTAGATATCTCGTAAATACGATTTTTTTGGTATTGATGGTGCTGCATTAACTTCAAATATAGTGTAAATGGTAAATGTATGTAATCATGTACCTAATAATACAGTGCTGCTCACTGCTAAAAGTCACTATTTATAGAAACAATTGTACCGACTGATACTGAAGACCTTTACTTTGGTAAACTATTTCTACTAAAAAGTGACAAATACAGTTTTTGTCATAACTAAAGGTAATAGTCACAGATACTGTACGATTGAGTACAATTTTTCAGTCAATTCAGTCGATAATAACAACATAAATCGAATATCCTCAACAACTACCCCTAACACATTCATACAACTGAAATAAATTGATTCAAATTCTTTGAGCTTCACTTTTGCTTCTCTTGATCAGAACAGAAACCCTTCGCTGGTTATTCCTTATTGAAAGACTTTATGAAGTATCATGGCGTTGTTTTCTTGCATTAGATACCAAAGTTGGTAGATAAAATAACAACAAATAAACTGGGTTGGTGTTGATGGTAAGTTTTCGATGGTAAACTTTCCGCCTAGTAAAGCATGTAATCGCACCTCGTATCACTCCACTTACTGATTTCATTCGCAAATTACGTCATAATAAGTATACGCATAAGAAAGAGAGCGCACGAGGAATACGTGGTTACACAGATCTAATAACGTTATCAAAATATTTATGGGAGGGAATAAAAAATATAAAAATAATGGCAAGATTCAGATGTGGAAATGATGAGAGAAGGAAAGAGAAATGGCGACAAGAAGAAATAAAATGTAGGATATGTGGAGAGGAAGAAGAGAACATAGTTATGGAATTGCATACATTAAATTGTAAAAGGTTTTGCCATTTTGGCGTCTATAATAAAGATTGATTGACTGCTAGTATACACATTATTTGCGAGTGGTTGATAATCGATTCCATTAAGGGTGGTACCGGTTTACAACTCTAATACTCTTATAGTCCAGGGAATAGAGGGTTTTAACTTGCAAAATGAGAAGTAAGTAGTTCCAATTTCTTTTGCATGTCATCTGGTGGTTGTGCTTCCCCCCGTACCACTCCCAAAACCCCCGAAATTTGGTTGGTTTCTTAGTTTTTCAATCATATCTTTTTAATGGTTCCCTTTGGAAAAAATATTGTTATCAGAAATTGTAGAGCATAAAATTCTACACAACTATGATATACCTATACTACTTTTTTGTGAAATGTTTATTAAAAAGATAAAGCTTTAAAGTTGCTTTGAACTTATCGCCCTACCCTGCACCCTTACCAAAGGGGCTTTCAATCCTAGTTTCAACCCTTCCTAGTGGTGATATTTGAATCACTGTAAGATTGTAGCAGGACCGTAGTCAGACCGAAAGTGAAGGTAGGGCAAACGGATGGTAAGAGCGGGCAGCTTTTTGCGTCGCACACGAAAATTATATGAAATTTCAAGTTCAACGCGGTTTAAGAAAAGTTAAAAAAAAAAGAAAAATTATAAAATTTACCTACCTACTAGTATGATAAATACTCAAATTTTTACAAATTCGCGGCACACATGTGGACACAATGCACAATGTGGAACGAATGGGGAAATTTATTGTTGCATATTTTTATTTTAAAAGGTCTGGCAGCATCCTTAAAAGACCTTGCCACCCCCTGGCTATGGGCCTGGATTGTAGCGCTTTCTAATACACGTTTGAAATAAAAAATTATCTCACTTCAGTTCAGTTTCATCCCCCACTGGAAAGGATGAATATTTCAACCCCCTTGTGGCGATTGATAATTTAGTCAGAGAGTACAACTCTTATTACTTATATTTTCTAATCCTCTCGTTCCAGTTTAACCCTCTCCACCCCCCTACTGAAGTGAATGGTTTAATCCTCTGTTTTTGATTGCTAGATCACACTTGCATAATGACATTTCGAATATAAAAACACGTTGGAAAGTACTCGATGCGTTGAGTTACTTATAGTCCGAGAGCTGAGAAACATTTTTGGGTACAATTTTGAGACACGCTGAAAACTTGTCCAATACTTCTCCAATAATATCCAAACATAGAATTGCAGACCTGACTGAGGAATAGCGGGGATAAATCAACCCTTATATTTTTAGGAACGAATTTTGTTTGCAAAAAAATGTTCTTGATGCATTTCGAAATTTTTACACCTTCAGGAGCGAAAAAATCAATAAGCCAGATCTTTTAGTGGAGCCTTACATTTTGCCAGGAACCATTAAAGTTTGAAAGAATGTATACAGTACCCCCTGAAATACATGAACACGGAGTGTACTTTGATAACTTTTGATGAAAGTTTCAGGACAATTGTCTTTATTTCGATATAATACCATTACAACAAGTTCAAACGATACTAATAATGTGTAGATCCTCCCCACTATTTCTTAATCATTCAGATACTCGACTGGGCATACTTGAAATTAGCGAATGGATGCTAGCTTTTGATATACTGTCCCAAGATTCTAAAAGACGCATGTAAAGATCATCTAAAGCTAAACTGTTTCCAGGTAAATCATTTATCCATCCACCCATCATACCCCACATGTCTTCAATTGATGGTAGATGCCGTTGAACACCAAATTGTAGATGTCATTTTTCTGTCTTATTAGTGTTACTTTAATTTGCATCATGCTGAAATTTGTTTCGTTTCTTATTTTGAAATAAATGTCTACACAAGAGTATAGCAAACCAGCTCCTGGGTATAGATATTGCTTGGCATTCGTATATTATTATATGGCTAAAGCTGTGCTGAATTTCATGGAATTTGGTTCATAACTAACGGAGATGCCAAAAGGACTTTCCTTATTTTTTGGCCTATACATTGCCAATTCACCGAAAAGCCAAAGTAAATATATAAACGTCGTTTTTTTTTCGAAAACTCAAAATACTTAATTCATGTTCATATAAAATAATGTATGTTAGAAAGCAATGTAATCTTAGATAGCTGAACAATCACTACTAGAGGAGGTTGAAATTATCGCCCCTTTTTGTAGGGCATGGAAGGGGTTAAAATGAAATGAAGAAATGTAGAATGAGCTTTTCTTTGATAATTGTATGCGAAAGCGCCATAATCACACAGTGATTCAAATACCTACCACCACCAAGGAATTGAAGTGCTATCATCTCCTTTGATAGGGGTGCAGGGCACAACATTAATAGCACCATAACTTTATATTCGACCTATTTTTTCATATGACTCTTGACTGATTACAGAAATAACGTATACAATTTTGTTAAAATATGTACATAGAAATTTCAGAATCTTCAAAATAAAGTTAACTTTGAAGCTCTGTATCTTTTTAAATAAAAAATTTACGAAAAAGAAGTATCTAAAAAAATTGTGTAAAATTGTATGGTCTACAATTTCTAATAACAATATTTTTTTGTAAAGTATAAATGTATAAATATATATGATTGAAAAACTAAAAATCCAACCACAGTTCTTTGGCTTTAGGGGTGGTACGGGGGAAGCACAAGGAGTTGGAGGTCGAAAACCACCTCAACCTCCATGACATGCAAACAAAATTGGAACTACTTCTCGTTTTTCTGGAAATTGCCCATTTTCAGTCTCTATTTCCCGGACTATTATGTGTATAGCCGACGCAGTACCGGAAAAGAGAAGTAAACAAGAATTTCAAATTTTCACCTTTTGTTTAGACATACAAATGTAGGTAATAATTGTGCGGGCTTCCACCAAATAACTAAATTTCTCCACGAGCTTTGGAGTTTTCGGACACGTACGATGACACGACTTAACTTTTTTAAATTGGGCCTTAGTTTTGGATCCGCCGGGAAATTCTATTTACCCCAACGATAACGCGAATCTCTTAGGACCTATCTGGTCGCCTTGAAACTCTTAACAACGAAAGCCTGGAAGCTCTCTAAAAGTAATTCCCCTTTAACTACTGTGTCCAAAAATGGCGGAATATTTTTAATATAGTGATACCTAATTTTTCTATTGGTTAAATTCTCTTTTTCCACCAATACCAAACGGCTGTATTTTAATACTTGCTAAATTCAAAATTTCCAAGGTAGCTTTGCGTTATACTGAACTCTCGCGACGATAGTCAATATGATTATCCATTTGGAACCATTATGTGATGGAGGGGGGGAGGACTCAAAGAAAGTGAGCCTGATTCTCCAGCGCCCCCCTAATAATTACTTTGGGGATTGTTTAGAACCTTCCGGAGAAAGGCCACTGCAAAACACCCGTTATCTCCCTCTGCCGATAATGACGACGTGCTGAAAGGTAGCAGATCTTTCTTTGGCCTAACGGTTGCCCTAACCTAAAAACGGTCCAGAGCGACTCACGAATGGGCGGTTTATTTCTATGAACTTAAACAAGAAGCTTTATTGCCAAACTAATTTATTTCCAGCAATTACGTACTTTACTTGGCTCTATCTCATATTTGGTGGTTCTATTATTATTGTATTGTACATACTTTGGATTGTTATTTATGGCTAACTATTTTGCAAAATGCCATACTATTTCTTTGCCAGTACGTCGAATGCGGGTGGAACTTCAGTTAAAGCTGCACGTCCAGCCCTAGACCTGGCACTTTAACATTAGCGAGAGGAGGTACCTCCAAGTCCACTGAGGGTGCAGGAGCACACCAAGCGAGTCCTACAACAGGGGGGCGAAAAGTTAACTCACACGAATAAATCTTTATAGTTACCTATAATCGCAGACATAACCACCATAAACAATACGAATATATCTGAACGCATTTTGATGTTTCTGATGTTTTCCGTTGGTACACTCGGTATTTATATGTATTCGAAATGTCTCTTATTACAAAATAATTATTTAGCGGAACAAATACTCGTCGTTCATTATGGCATTATAATAATTCCGTCACGTATCGACAAATTGTGTTAGTTTCGTTTAAATGGTGTAAACACATTTTATGTAACGTTTATAAAGCATATTGTGTTCATTGTAATAGATATTTGTGTCTGTTCGAAAATTCAAACTAATCTCAGATATGTTTGAATTGGTTGACTTACAAAAATAGAAAAATGAAACAATTTGAGAATAACAAGTTAAAAAAGTAATCGTAAACGGTTTACAAAAAGCGCATTTCCACATTAGCAGTCTTTGTCCGAAAAAATTAGTTACTTTTTGGCACTTGATTTCAATTTGTCTTTTCGGGTAAAATTTCAGGTGAATTGGATGACAAATAAACAATGTATCTGTCTGTCTGTGGACGCGTAATAATTTTATTGAGCTTTTCACTTTGCGTATGCACAGCCTATTTTTTATGTACGTTTAATGTATGCACTTTTTTTTAGGAATCATCTTCCTTTAAAATTCCATTAATAAGAAAGTTGGGTCTGCGCATGCGTAATCTATTTTTTTTTTCAAAAAGTGCACATAATAAATAATGACCCAAAGAGTTGACCGTAATTTCCAACAGAGCCAATTTTATTTTTCTCTATCAATGCATTAACCGTTTCCTCAAGGAAATTTTGGGCTTCTTTGATCCAAAATGATCGCTAAAGTAGAACAAGTTTCATGAGTTTTGGCTAATTAAAAATCAAAATGCTCAAACACACAAATTTCTATCCTTCCCCTTACCCAAAAGAACCACCGAACTACTGTGATCAGGCTAAACAAGTGCAATTTCTTGTCTTGGTAACTTAATTGTTGAGAATCAAATGCGAATGGGAAAGAGACACGAACGGTTTTTTTTACAGAAAAAGGATGCAGTATTCAGTAAAAAGTAACTTAAAGCATGCGCACAATTGACTTTAAATCAATAGCACTCTAACAATAACAAAGAGTAAATGCAGAGCGCATTAAGTGGGTAAAAATGAGCAGGGAAGATTGCATTATTGATTATAGGGACACAATGTTTAAGCGGAAAATGGAGAATTCAATTACACCCCACCTGGTTTACGAAATTTATTCGAATCACATGCACGAAAACCTTAAAATGGTGAGATTTTGTTTCGGAACAACTTTATTGTGACTTGAACGCGAAATTCTCTACTCTACTTCTCTATTTTAGAGCACTTGACGTATCGGTGGCTCAAACCCGAACACCTCGAAAAACTCTACTCCAGATTAATCCCTACCTATCTTTTCTGATTAATAAACGTTTCAAAATGGCGCGTTATTAATAAAACTTCCAGATCACTGCGTATCTCCAATTCAATCACGTATGATCGCCAAACTTATCTAGCCTCCACGGACTTTTAGAATTTTAGAAATATTTTCGGAAAAAATCGACCCTCTAATTTTGACACTCTGTATACTTTCTAATACCAAATTTTTAAAATGATTACCAACCCTACCGAAATTTTGTAGGTTAAATCGAAGCAAAGTTGCCCCTTTTTGTGATTAAAAACACGCTATTTGAATTTTTAACTTAAAATAGCCGATATACCAGCGAACAACGGAAAATGTCAAATTTCGTTTCCATTTTTTCTAGCTTAAACGGTCGGAAATGGACGGTTCTCCTTAGTACCTTCTGGGGGAGAGTCTCTGAATCTGTTATCAGAATTTCCATAGCACGTACCACCATGTCTCCGTAACCATGGAAGCAATTAAACAAAGAATATTAGTACATACGTAGTTTTTTATGTAGATTCGAATTTTAAAAACAAAAGTTCATTTAAAATGTCAAAGTTACCTCCACCCCTAAAAATTGAGAAACAAATTTAAAAATATGTTAAAATGTGTCTCCCTGTATCCTTATTAATTAATTATAATAAATAATAATTAATTAATTCTTTGAGGTTAGTAGATTATGCATGTGACCAGTCGTTTTGTGTCAATTTCTGTACATCTACTTTGTCTTTATTTGACATAATTACTTATTTTTCGGTTGGTCAAAGCATAGCGAATGAGTTATTGTCTAGCCATAAAAAATGCATGGATTGATATCGAGTCAATTCGTTCGAACGTATTCTCAATACAAATAAATTCAATTTTGATACTTTTGTTATATATCAAACCGACGTTTTGGGCGCCTGTAGGTATACTGAGCTTCTTGCATAAGTAATGATTGTAGAATTTTCTCCGCAACAAAAACTTAACTGAACAAAGAGTAGAGATTCAAGTTTTTCACTTCCTAAAAGTAAGATACCTTTAAAGAGACATGGAAATTATGCATAAAAATGGAAATGCCTACATTTCCACAACTAAAAACCTGCCAGAGCTTCATATTTCAGCATACCTAGCTATAAGTTTCGCAACTGCGTGGTAGAATTATGATTTCCGGGCTGTACAAAAAGATTCGCATTCTTTTATGGTGGTTCGAAATGCAAAATAAATAAAAATGGAGAGCCGCATAGAAAAACTAAGTTTTCGCACTTTCTAAACAGAATTTTTTTTCATTTTTTCAGCAGTGGAGTAGTCGTCGGTGCAGATGTCAACTGTCACGTAGCACCTGACCTGGGGTCAGAAGAAGTCAAGCACATTGTTGGAGCGACGTTTGGAACTGTCAAAATTAAACGTAAAGACATTGATGAAGTATATACAGAGTGGCCCAACGAGAAGTATACAGAGGGCTTTTAGGGTATTAAATTTAGAAATTTCGAAAAATCCTCGAACACGTCAATTTTGTATTCGAGGGGGACAATACAAATCACGAACCCAAGTCTTCACCCCTCTAATTAGGGGGCTTACCCCTAAAATTTTAAATGGTATCCTATGGCAAATGGCACATTATTTGAAAGCCAATTTAATCGTGATTACTAATCTGCTTTGCTTTTTAAATTCTATTGATTCGGCAGTTTATTTTGTGAAAGCGTACATTTGCATTTAAATAATTCAAAAACCGTTCAGCTTTTAAAGGCATTTGTTCATAAATGATCACAAATACTATTATAATCGCCCTCGCTCCACCAACTAACTATTATGTTAGACTAAAAAGTAACAAGCAAAATGCAGGTTTACGTTTTATTCTCCATTGATCCAAACCTTATGAGAAAGCAAAAAAATGCGTGTGCGTTTTGCTTCCGGTTGCATTTATTGGCAAGTGAAACGGATTATTTTTTAAATCTTTACTTATATTTTGTTCATTTCGGGTTCGGAGAAAAGTAACAATTTAGGTAAGATAAATTTACTGTACTGATCGTAAGTCATGATATTTAAACAGAAGATAAATCATAATTGCAAAAATAAAAAGCAAGTCTAAATGACAAGTTACGTTCTTGAATCGGTTATGCTTCGGGATCGTTTAACTTTCAGAAGAGGAAGGTGGTGAAAGCGAATTATCTGTGGACTAAGTACTTGACTTGACACCTTTTTTAAAATATTTCATGATAAGTAAACCTTGTTTATATGAAAGTTACACCAAAACGTGAAAGTCATGTACGACTAACCTGCGATTAAAAGCAACAGTCAAGGGCTCAACAATGTTTGAATTTTTTCGTAGGTAAACTTCAGACACAAATGGTACGTGTTTTCTAAAGTTGTATACACTACCGCATTAAAAAAGTAGAAAGTTACCTATGTTTTAATTGTATTTGGCCATACGGTTAAAATTCGTTTGTAAAAATCAACAGTGATTGATCGAAACCTACCAGTTTTTTTTTACGTTTATTGACAATGAGAATGAGAAAAAGATCATGAACATGACCTACACAGTGAAGGACTTTCACTGCTTGTGGTACTGGTAACCGACTCCTTTACATTTTAAAACGGTAGAAAGTCTTCCTTCCTCTACCATTTAATGGTTCAAACCGTTGCCTGATTAAAGTGTAATGAATTAGTGTACCCGCGTAAGTAGTTGGACAATGGCCATAAATGCTGATGTTGTACTATTGCATTTTTAACTTGGAGAAATCAAAGCGAATGACGAACAATGCTTTGATCAAATACCTTTAACGTTAACCGTGCATAATTAATAAGTGCATTCACGCAAATTCGTTAACAAAAATGTATGCGGTGCAAAATGTGTTGGTGCGAACTCTTATCGTGCTGGGGATGGGGGTTGCTGTCGTTACGATTTTGTACTTCACCCCCACACCAGGTAAATGACTCCTAATTTCCTTTCCATTTCATCCGAGAAAGCGCATTTTTGTTTCAACTAATGAAATCGATACCTATTAGGAAAAACTTGTGATGCAATATACGTTTGAATAAATTATTACCGTACGACACACTTCGAGTAACAATTTTAATTAACCATTATGTTGTAATTGACGATTTTACAATTCAGCTACAATTACCTACATTAATAAAATTGTTTCTATTGGAAGGACGAATTTATCGGGGAGCCATTAAATTAATTTGTGCATTATTAATGCTAATTTTCTCTCTTTGTAAATTCAGGGTATTATTGTTCATTATACGTTCCGCTTTAAGTTAAATACCGTGTTTATTAATATTTAGATTACGTTGGTGTAACAAACAATGACAAATGAAGATCACACACTTTGCTGAACTGCCAATTAGCAATGGATGAGTTTGCTCGTCGATAATGAGTATAAGGGTGCCGACCTTCGCAGCAACCACCACCTTGAAGAAGAGATTTGTACGAGTCGCTCCGCCGCTGCTACTTGTGGATAATGGTTGGGGGACACATGTGTAAAGGGAAGTTTTTGTTAATAGCGGGTTGGTGATTAACGTTACATTGTCCTTATGCAAAGGTCAACTAGTTTACAGGGAAATAGACACTATTACCACAACGTCCATAAATAATTACCATAACATTAATTTTAACGGTTGAAGTGAGTCGGTGGTGACATTGAAAACCTCAAGATTTACTAAAAACAAGTTAAAAAAGTCACTAGATTTACGCGTATTTTTGATGCGGCAAATCAGTGGACGAATAACTTGGACCGTATGGTGGAAAACCATTCCTTCCCTCAAGACAGTTTATTGGCGCACTATGAAAACATATCAGAAGAATTTTAATTTTTCTCCTCAACTCCAGCACCAACACTCGCCCAATTTCGTACTATAACCAAATTGGCCTAGCAGTATTTTTTATCAATACACCTTCTTCCAACTCCTCTCATGCCCTCAATTTTGTAGGAAGACCAAATTCGGCAAGTGAATACAATCTTTCTAGTAAACGTGATGAGTGGTAGAGGGCGCTGTTTAACATTAACATGAACTTTGCAGGTTTTCTTGAAAGTTTCGAATGCACCAATTATTATATGATATTTTCAAATAGGATGAAAAAGTAAAATTATTAGTGAAAACAGCATAGTGATTTCTGTTTCCTAAGCAGAAATATGGGGAAAGTTTAAATTGTAGTATTTGTATTCATCCAAGTTGGTAAACCTAGAAGTTAACTGTTCCATGAGGTTCAACATGCTTTTGGATGCGGCTTTTCCAGAGATTTCTAAGTGGCTGAAACCATTGCTTTCAATAGAGTACCATGACAACATATACAGTGCGTTCGAGATAAGAGGGTCACCGCAGTATCTCTTTTATTTGGTGAGATACGAAAGATTTGTTAAATATAATTTTATATGTCACATTATACGATAAGTCTGATCGCATATTCAAACTTCCTGCATAACCGGAAATTGATGCAACTTTTGTTTTTCAAATGCAATGCCTATATTTTTTACGATATTCGAAAACAGCAATCAATTTGCTGCACAACATATTGCATATGGTTGATATACAAACAGAAATAGAGAAATACCTTATTCAATATTTAGAAAATTTATAAAATCTAGCATACCGTGTGCTGTCAGGATGCGCGGTGCCAGTGCACAACATGCGGCGATCATATCGTGCAAAAGTAAAACATTGAAAAAATTATTGTAGGTCTTTTCTGTATGATATGGCCCACGGCAAGCTAGATTTCATAAATTTTCTAAATATTGAATCACGAATTTCTGAATTTTTTTTGTATATCAGCCATATGCGTTATCCTGTCATACAGAAAATTGTTTTCTCTTTCTAATATCGTAAAAAACATGAGCATTGAATTTGTAAAACAAAAGTTGCGTCAATGTCCGGTTAAATCGGAAGTGACACCGGAAGTTTGAATATGAGACCAAATAGATCGTAACATGTACAATTATATTTGACCAATTTTTCGTCTCTCGTCCAATAAAAGAAGTATTAAGGTGACCCTCTTATCTTGAACGCACTGTATATGACTAGTTTTACCGGACTATACACCCCTCCACAACAATTTCGTAACAAAACCAATTCCGTCGAGAAAACTTTAAGCTATTTTAACAAACGGAGGGTGCCGGAGGGGATGTTATAATAATGTTCCGTTGCCGATTTATAAAAAGCTTAAAAGACGTCCGAATAGCCGACAGTTAGTGAAACTTAAGCTCGTTTTTTAGAATAAAAAATGTGCTAAACATAAGCTACCAAGGCACCATACTTCAAGTGCCAATGAATGTGTTCTAAAATGTTTTTTAGTTCTGTGGTAGAACTACATCGATTAAAATTTTGGTCACTCTCGTTCAGTGGATTTCGAGCTCTACTATTAGTACCGGAGTCAAGCTTTCATACCACTGCGCCAAACATGCCGGCTATAATTTATTGAAAACAAATTTGCCCCATGCGCAATTCTGCCCTTTTGTATCTAAGAATATGTGTACAAAGAATAGGTTCGGCCGGAAATGAGAGTACAGACATATAGACAGACAGACAGACCGATCAATATCATCGACATTTTCTTTAATTCGTATCATCATCATGTCAAAAAAGTGGGGGGGGGGGCATTTTTTACCCCATACTAACGTGCGGATGGTAAAAATATTTGAACGCTCGGTAGATGTAGCCATATTGTAATATTTGGAACATTTCACACGCACGTAAATGTAATAGATGCATTCACAATCGAAATGGCTACATAACAGAACCGCTAATTAGGGGCTTTTTTCCAGATTATCCCGCTTTGTTGCCCCCCTGTAATGATACGAATGCATCGGCCAAAATATCGGCCGGCATATATGGACGATATGCCGATATTAATATCGGTATCGGTTGATGCCTAATTTTGACCAAGCTTACATGTCAAATTTATTAGTTAGTTACCCTGAGTTTCCAGAGTATAATTTTACTCACGCAAGAAAAAAAATTGTGTTTCCATAAAAATCAAGGTCCCAATTTTCAATCTGAGAAATTTGACCCGGAATTTAAGTACTAAATAATTGGGATTTCCATTTTACGTAAAACCTGACTATATAGAGTGTAACATACGTAAATATTATCAGTTTTTCACCATAAACCAGGGTCCAAAAGTGTTAAGTTGGAGAACTTTATATTTATATATACAACGAGCGGCTAAAATATGGAACAAATTGATTTTAGGGAAAAGTTGATTTTTGAAATAGAACAGTATTTTTTAAAATCCATTCTTGAATTCTGTAGCAAATTCTACGCAAAAGCAAAAAAAAAACATAACACAATTTACGTACATTTTTTGATGCACTGTATATTTTGTCTTTACTACAAAAATGCGCAAGAATAAATTATGATAGACGTGTGCGAGCATTTTTTTAAAACTCAACACCTGATTTTTAAATGAATTTGTTCCATATTTTAGCCACACACTGTGGAATGATAAGATCAACACCTCCATTAATACTTTAACTGTAGAATCACTTGCATCTTTTAAAAATTGCTCTAGTGCATTATATTTTTGAAAAGAGAATTTAATATGCTATTTTTTGGAATAAAATATACAAGGTGTCCTATTTAAAAAAATGAGGTTAGGCCCGATAAATGAAATTTTCTGATTTTCTCCCGTGTCTCTTAAACGAGCGAATATTTGCAAATTTTGATTTTACCATTTTAAGTTTAACCCAAAAAGAGCACATGTGACGCCTACATTACTTTTTTGATGGCGCTAACAATTATGGGGAATAACATTGTTGAAAATGGGACACAAATGTAATGGAATTCTGCCCAGTAACTTTTTTTCTAATAACTGAGATACCGATGGTTGAGGTCGGAAAAAATCAGCTATACATCGGCAGAAATTCTTTTTCTTCACTTTACAGGTCTCAATAGACCAGTTGCTCAGGAACTAATTGCATTTGCAATGCGAAACAAAAATAATGAAAATAATGCAATATAATTGCGTGCAGGTAGGATGCCGGATTAAACTTTTGCTGTTCGGTCAGTTAAAAAAATCAGATGGTATCGAACACACTTTTGATGTTATCTGTATTGCAAGTTTGAGACCTAAAACCTTCTTCGGCGAGGTGAGATACTTCCAGTTTCTAGTTATTTTGAGCCAAAGTGTGTTTTGATTTTCTTCGTTAATCGAGTGAATCTATTTTTAATGGATCTTTCATTTAAGAATGGGTATATCGTATGCATATCGGATAATAGAGTCTTAATATCATTAGTAAATTTTAAGGCTTGGTATGGGTCGCTATTATCCATATTATGAGTTACTTAAAAATTTGATGAAGGTTATACAACGTCAGTTTAAACTTCAGGTTAGTTTAACTGACAAATTTCAGAAACACGATTGGTCAACTTGTGAAATAATATCCAATCAAATCATTTTAGCCCACAAGTTAACTCAAATGGGCCTTCAGAAACTACAATTTCCGGGGCGTTGTTTGTTTTGCGTTTCTTTCTGACTGATTTCGCTGGTTTATTTACTTAGGGAATGATGAAGGGGAGGCATGACAAGAGACTCTTATCGGACTTCTACCCTGAATTATTCTGTCGTTTCCTTATTGAGAAGTTGAGGAGAGATCCTCTAGAATAGATTCAGATTTACAATGTGACTATATGGAAAGTGATACACATAACAGTGCCTTCATACTGAAAGGAACAAATTAATTTAGGGTTTCAGTATCAGTATCAGTATCTTCATTTTGTGGGCACAAATCAGCATAAATTTGATTCTTCGGTATTAGGTTTGGGAGAACAACGTTTAGTACAAGTATGCTATTCTTTACAGTGAAGAACAAGAAAATTTGTATGATTCTAATTGATCTTAAAGAAACATTCCACATTTAAAGCATTTAAAAGCCGAATATTGTCACGCTTCAACCTCAAACGGAAATAAAATAATGCGTGCAGTAGACA